GTAGCTTATTTTCCAAAGATATACAATGGTGGCTCAGAATCTGCTCATAAAAGTTTAAAGCACTTCCTGTCTGCCTCATCAGTATACTGAAAAGTGACCATTTTCAGACTTAATATCTTTAAATGCATGAGAGTGGAAAATTGCACTTGTTACAAATAACAGCGATGAGTAATACATTTCTGTGAAAAAAGTTATTTTGGATTGTATAAAGAAAACTGGAATAAAAGTGTTTCTTTATAATGGTCATGGTTTGGCCAAATGGTTATCCTTGTAGACCAGCTGAATACATGCCTATAAAGAGTCAAACAAAGAATTGCCTGACCTAAATATGTCTTCAGATATAAAAGAAGAGTTGCCCTTAAAGGTGATGCCGTTTATTAGACCAGAGGCTGGGCCCTTTGCTTGAGCTCCGAGCATGCTGTTGAATTGCTGAGTGAATTTATTATTTTTTGTAAGCAACTTTTAACTGAATACATAGCATTCAAAATGAGAAATAAATAATTATATGTATATTTTAACTTTTCTTTTTTTAACGCTTTGCATTACATTTTTACAGTATATATATGTATAAATCAGACTCCAGACAGTAAGAGGTCAAAAGGAAATCTTGACTCGAGGATATGGGTTGAAATGTAGGCCGTAATGTATTTAAAATGTTCTGTAAATTAGGACCTGTTGGGACAGAAATATGAGTTACACTTCTTATCATCTACGATACGCAGTGTTTGTTATAACAACAAATGTTTACAAAAAGGAAAAATTTATGTTTTTCTGCAAAGCATTGTCAACATCAGAGGACAGATGGAAAATTATAAGATGTAAAGACAAAAAAAACTCACACACAAAGATAAATAAATAGTCTGTTCAGTAAACAGAAAATTATCAAAATAACAAGATTAAATTGTGTGGGAAACACAACAGGAGATAAATATCATAATATCCCTTTTTAAAGTTTGGAATTTACAAGTCGTTTACAAGACCACTTCGGTTTATCATCTCACTATACCAGTTACAGGTTAGTTTTCATCTGGCAGCTCTCTGGAGAGCTGATGCCATAAAAATCACACTGAAAGTTTAACTAGAAAAAACATATCAGTATAAATTAAATATGAAAAAATAACATAAAGCTGTGGCTCAAATAAGATTTTATTGAATAATGTTTGCACGATGATGTTTGCCAAAAACCTAGGATCAGAGACAGTGACAACAGACACACACAGAAAACAAGAAAAGGCTGAAAATAAGGTCTCACTACTGCATTTAATTTTTACTCTTAAAAGTTAGTACTTTTTGGTTCGATGTCCTGAAATTGCTAAGCAATTATAATTACAAAACATAATTTGAATTACTATCTTAATACACTATTATATAGATTTATACTTTACTGAAAAAGGCCAAAACATTTTTGCTTATAAGTGGCTTTGCTGATATCCAGCTTTCAGGGCAGCTTTTTTTTTTTGCCTTATCTCATGTTGAAATGTTCCTTCTTTTAAGATGTAAGAAGCCTACATTTCAGCATTGATGAGTATTCGAGAGAAAAACCCGGACTGGATCAATACAAATAGCTTTAAGGTAGAAGTCTCTGGATGCTGCTGTGTACTGTACTCTATTACATTAGTGTCGCAGCTCCTCTGTAAGGGTCACTCCCTGTATTCAGACGCCATGGAAATGCAAAGCTCCACGATGGTTAGCCTATGTACCACTAAACTTATCACAATGCTTTCAGAATATTGGTTAAGACGTTCGCTTATCTTAAAAAATCCTATATAACTGTCTCTCAGTATTATTTCATAACTAACATTGTCAACACATTGTTGTAAATGAATAAATTATTTTTTTAAATAATTAGTCATAATTAAGTATAATAACAAGAGCTGGTTTAGCGAATGATTTCTCCATACCTTCTTTGACAGTGTTCACTGCATGCCAGGCTTTGTTCTAATGATGCTGTCAGTTCCAATCGCCATCAAGCCATTTCTACAGAGAAAAAGTCAATTATGAACCTTTCAATGGGTCTTGCTGTGCTGATGCTTTTAAAAAAATCTGACATACAATTCTGCGTTCATTGTTCCAACAAAAATCTTCAATATAAGTCAATAACTAATATACTTACCAGTAGTAGTTCTCTAGTAGTTCACTAGTACTCGTTAGTTCAGTGCATGTTATAATGAGCATTGACACATGTTATTAGCTTATACATAGATCTCCCCAGAGAGAGCTTCCTGGTTGCCAGTGTTCCACTTGGAGGAAGTTATCAACACAGATCTGTACAGATTTGTAAGGGGATCGACTTAATGAGGACAAATAACAAGAAAGGCATCTGCCCAGCAAAGAGTAGAAACAATGAGCGTGATTTCTGTGGCAATTAATCTCAAGTTGCAGTAACAGACAAAGCCTTTTTGTCATTTAAACTATGAATTAATTAAACTTGAATTCTAGTGGCCTACAAAGAGCATTGGAACTTAAGTATAATCGTTTCTATTTCACGTGAGAACATGACAGGCATGCCAACTTGAGAATATAATGGACCCAGGAGGCATAACTTGTTAAGGCATGCAGCTAAAAAAAATCAGGTCAGAAATGTCCTGCATTTGTTATAGTGTTCATTTTGAACATGAAAAATATTAAATGGATATGAAAACCCATATCATCTAACTTGCATGATCTCAAATTAAATATCTTTAAGACAAGGAGAAATTGTGGCAACAAGATTTCTGTTTCACAGAGACATACGCTTCACTTTGAACGAAGGGTGAAAATCCTGTTCTATTTTTTGTCAAAAATTACATTTAATTCATTCCAGACATGTTTCACTTATAAAAATGTTTACCTCCTATACTAAACCGGATTTTATGTCATTGCTACTCTAAACACAATGAAAATAGCGACAGTAAAGCCTTTGTAGGTTGTACGTTCAAGGGCGATAAAACTGAATGTATTCATAGGTGTGGCTGGAAATAGTTCTTTTTGTGTGGTCCTTTTTGTTCTAAATCCATAAATAACTGAGACCACCTAGTGTTTGAAGTCAGAATGCAGAAATGTTAATAAGTACTAAGACGTACAGTTGTACTTCTGGAAGTATTCTCCCTCAGTAGCTAATTAAAAGACATCTTTTTGATCTTGTAATAGCAGTGCTGCTAGGATAAACAAAGCAAGTGACAATGACACAATGGTGAATTTTAGCATTTCAAGAGCAGATGAAACTTTAATACAGGCCTATTTTTAACATTTTGTGTCTTTCCAACATTTGTATTATATTGTAGTTATTTCAGATCAAGAAGGAAAAAAGGACAGGAAAGGGAGCTGAACATTTGCTTTGGAAGAATCAACTGTATCATTATAGAATCTTTCATCATAAATCAGAGAGACTTTGTGATGAGAAATAAAACAAGGTGAAAAAAGATCATTTTGGAAAAATTTGAGAAAGAATAAACCTGTGTAAAATAGCAAACACTGAAAACATTAGATCGACATCATGTAAAAGTAAGATTTTTTTTTTTTTTTTTTACCATTTACTTAAAAGATAAGAAACCCTATTTTTGGGAATTTGGCATTATTTTCACCCATTACTCTTGCGTTTCCCTGCCCTTCCCTCTTTGTCTCACCCTGTTTTGTGTACCTTTCCCTCAACAGAGTTGTCTGTCGTCCTACAGATTGCTCATTCCATGCACCTGTTGTTCGTCTTCCTCCCAATATTTTATCAGGCCTGGTCTGCTCTCCTCTTATCTCCTGTTTGTCAGCTCTTGCATGCTATACTCTGTTGGCATTCTTGTCTTAGACTCTGTCCAAGTGAATTTGGTTTCTTTGAACTAAATCTTGCCTTCTTGTCCTCAAGGAATTGTCAGTACTTACCTGGCTGACCTGCTTTAGAGTTTGAACTCAGCAGGATATCCTTCTGCCTATATTTTCACTTCTGCCAATGTAACCCCAGCTGAAAAGGTCCTCGAAGACTCAGACTCAACCGTTTGCTCACACTGGAAAAGTCACAATAACAACAGCATCTGAGCTGTGAACCACTATTGACTTACCTGTGGCTGGAATTAGCAAAAACGTTCTTATTTTTCTGCGTCTTTTGTCTGTTTTAACACTGTCTGTGAAAGGAAGCAGGTTTCTTATGTTGAAATTAAGTTTCTGATTGTTAGCCCAATTCTTCTGTTGGAAGCCTGAGAACAAACCAGAGAAATAGTCAGTGCACAAATGTGTCATTTATTCAGGTCACAGGTAAAGTCATGCTGCACTGGGCTCAGAGAGACAGAGCTCCCCAAGGATCTCAATCAGAAAGAGCCTTGATTTTAAGGTGTGATGTACAGTTAACTTCTTGGGCTGGGCCTAGTAGCCTACAGTAGAAAGGTTGGACATAACGCAATTGAGTCTCATTGGATAGTTACAGAGGTAACAGAGATAAACCCTAACCTGTACAACCAGAGGTTACATGAATTCAGTGAAAAAGTACACCTCTGAAGTGAGCAAATGGAAGCCAATCCTAACAGGATCAAACTTAAAATACTACCTTTTTTGCCACTGCCTACCTTTATCTGTATTTATCTACATGACTTGTATCATTGTTGTGACAGGCAAGATCTTACCTGAACGTGAAGTGCTTATTGTTGTTTTTATCCAGGTAAAGGTTGAACAATGTGGCGCGAGAAGCGTTTGCCATCAGCAGTTATGGAGTTTGGTAACCATGGAGACACAAGCCGTAAACACTAAAATGGTGTCCTGCCTGAGCCGTTTAGGCATTTTAGTCGTATTTTCAAAGATAAAATAAGCAGTTGGCCTGTTTTATCGTCCCTTATTGCGACGGGTGACCCTCAAAGCCAAACTATTTTATGTAGGTGAGCGAAAAGTTGGATAGGAACGCTTACGTGTGCAATGTTTAAGAATACCTACCAGGTAAGTTCCGGTTCAATGAAAGATCAAACTAATATAGGCTATATTGTAATTTCTTTAAACGCTTAGCATTTCTAACTGACTGTAATAATGCAAGCTGTTTTTTTCAGGGTGGACCTGTCTTTGACATCTTCAGTGGACAGGGAAAAGACCCGGTTGCTAAATGGAAACTTAGCGGGGGGCCGTCGGCTATATATAAAGTAAGTTTTACAAGTCTACTGCTAAAATAAAGCAGGCCTTTGCAATGATACGCATTCAAGGGTAATATTCTTATATCTATGGAGTCAATCGTCAGCATGTGCAGGGATGCACAGCAATTCATGCAAAATTAAAGTCACACAATAGCAGGATAACAAGGTGGGTACAGCATAAGTGCCATATGGTGCTTTCCTTATGTTTCAGATAGGGATGACACTATCATTCTGATTTGCAACCCACTCTTTTTTTCCTTTTTGGATGTTAGTCGCTTTTATCAGAGCTGACAAATAATCTTACCTTCATTACCGTAGATGCCAAGCAATACTGCCAACTAAACACTTTTTACAGCTTGAGTTGATCTTGACACATGGATTTTATAGCTCAAACCTCATACATATGCTCCCATAAAAACCATTTGTCATCCCGGGGGGCATTTACACAGCGTGTATACCAGTCACACCCTGCAAGGACTTGGACTTAGCAAGGCCTCTCTTGAATTATGTTCTCTCTTAGGAGTATAATAAAGAAGTTAAAGGATTTGTTTACTGTCTGGAGGGAAGCAGCCAGACAGTCAAGATGCAAATGCCAGAGAATGGAAAAATGTCTCGTAAGTCACCAACGTACTTGCACCCATCCATCAGTAGCTTTTGTTTTGTGTTGCTTGTATCTACGTTTATAGTATTTTGTTGCTTTTTTTCTCTGGCAGTTGGCCTTATCCAGAGATATTTGGTCCTTCAAGTGAACGTTCCGCAGTCCTACGATTTTTCCACTGAGCTTTTGTAAGTACAGCAGTCATGTTGTTGTATATGTTTACATACAAAAGTTTTTTTTTTTTACAACAATCCACATTTTGTGGTAATATATGCTGATGCAAATCTCCGTGTCTCCATCTTAGTGGGTGTTATAGGAATTGTAGATGTGCATAATATGTAAACTGGCATAAATCAGTATGAAGCCACACACCACAACCAGTTTTATGTTTTTTTCTTAGAATAAGTGAACTAAAAAAAAAAAAGATTTATTCAGCACTTTATCAACATTTTATTTTAAGATAAAATGTAAAACTTGTAAAAAGGCTTTTTAAAATTATTATGATCGCTTCTTTCTGTTACATTATTTTTTCCCACATTGTGCAAATTGGGATAGTTTAATGTTGCTCATTTTGTTTATATTGTACTTTATATTGTATTTCATTTAAAGCTGAATTGTCCATGAAACCGTTGCTACAACAGGATGTGTATTTAACACCCTCGAAAAATCCAGAGGAATTATGGTAGTCGTGGGAACCATTTGGGGGGAAAAAAAGTCAAAGACACATAGCTGAAACGATTTTTCTCAGTGGATTTATCCACTTATTAATTCTCTGTTTTTTAAAAGAAAAACTGGGAAACATTGTTTCTGTCATAGTTTTGTTTTTAAAGTGGGAATTTCAAAGCTCACCCTGGAGACTTATAAAACTTATGTTTTCTTCCACACAGTACTTCCACCATTAATGCCATTGATAATGTATGTGCTATTATGATATCTGTTATTTACAGGATAACTGATTCAGAACATCTGAAAAGAAGACTTCACTTATCAACAGTACACAAAGAGTTGTCCACAACACTCCTGCATGCAAAAATACCGTTTGTAGGCTTGAAACGCAATGCCGTGAGTATCTTACTCATATATTATGATTTTTTTTTTAAATCGATAATCTTTATAATCTTTTAACATGTTTTACATGCTCAATAGTTGGACATCAGCTTAATCACTGCTGGCTTAATTTTTGTCTGTATCTCTTGTTATAGTGGTCTACTTTATGCATCGATCTTGTGTCTCTGGCCTGTGGACTTTTCAAAGGTTTTTTGACCTTGGAAGGTATCACATTGTTTGCTACATGTAAAGTCCGGAGGATCTTTACCATGAAAGGAGAGCCTGTAGAAACATCAAATGAGGGTAATGCATTTGGTTATTGGGTGCAAATAGTAATAATTTTTTAACTTACCCTGAAGTCAACAACATGTGAATGTGTGTGTACATGTGTGTTCATCTTAGAAGTAAAAACAACTAACTACAAATTTCTTTAAGTCTTAAGTCTGTGTGAATGTGTGTGAGTAAACATCTAAGAGGATGAGTGACTTCCCTTGGTTGTGTTTCACCGCAAACTAATTGGTAGATGTAATTTAGTTCCGCTGTGTCTTTTGGAATTTTATTTTATTTCACAATTATGTATGTCAGGAATGATGTATTTCAGGAATCTAAATTTAATGAATGTTATCTTTTTTTTTTCTTCAAATAGCTGGTCTCGTGGAAACAATACCTCGTAGTTTCCTGTGCCCGCCTGATATAATCCAAAGCATACAAGTGTTGAACATTGAGAGTTTGCGAAAGGCAGAGATAAAGACTGGTCTTCTTTCCTCTTATCATGGTAGGTAAGATAAAAAGCAAAAATCTAAATCAGTAAATACAACAACAATGGTGAAACATGTGTTGAAGATATTTAAAGGTTTGTAAAACAATAGAGCACACAATAAAGTCAAAGGTTTTTCCCCATAGTCAGTGGTTAAAAAACAGGTGTTAGTTCAGTGTGGGACATAAATTCTTCTTCACCTCCAACTTAACTTGAGCCCCATTGAACTATTTTGTACAAAATCCAATGAGGACTTAGTAATCTAGCCTTATCTTCAGCAGCAATGCCTTATTTTGTGGATAAAATCCCTCATTCTATCATTCTGGTAGACACTAGGTACTGTTAAGCAGAATTACAGCCCTGGGGACACATTAACAATAAAAATTTACGACCATTATGAATTTATTTTCCTTTTGAGGTGTCGATTTAATTTGGGTCATTTAGTGCAGGTCATCTTTTTTTGTTTGCAGTTTGGCATAATTTTATGACTGATAAATGACTGATAGAAGATGTTGTTCTGAGGGTAACTTTCCAACATGTGGGTTTAAATATGTTATAGAGTACAAGATATTGAACATCTAGCAATTTAACTTCACACAATGGCAGAGAATACTGCTAAAATGACCTCATGTCAAGAAACACATTTTAACAAAGACATTGTGATTGTAATCACTTTGTTTTCCTCACATGAGCTTCCTGTGGTCTTAATTGTGTGTTCTTTGGGCCTCACCTGTACTCAGGGAGCTGCAATTATCTCCTCGTACAGAAAGACATGCACCAGTAATCCCAGTTCTTGCGCCTTTGTGGCCTTTTTTATCAGCCCATATTTATTTGTTCTGACAGCTGTCCAAGTCATGTTAAATCAAGCAGCGATGCCCTTCGAAGAGAGCAGTCACCACACAGGAGAGATATCTTTTCATAATTAGCATCTGCATTATAAACACAACATTCCTAATCATAATTAAAGCGATTGCTATTAATGTAGGCATCTAATTTAACTCTGACAAAGGTGGTTGGTGAATGTTGTTAAGTACTGAATCTGTCATTACGAGTTAAAAGTAAAACACTGATTTTTATTTTCTATTTTCATTTATTTTATTTTATTCTCAAGCAGCAACAAACAAGGCCTTATTATTTCTGTTTTACACCAAAGACACTCTGTTGCTCCTAAGGTCAGTTAATTTTAGTGATCCAAATAACTGCTGCAAATACCTGTTGTGAACCAGCTATCATTCGTATATCTCTTAGTAATCCTTAGTGTTATTCCATTCTTTATAGGCTTTTTCCAGATTTAGAACATACAGAAGTGTATTCACTCCAGGAATCCGTCTCAGTGTATTCCATCTGCTATGTTGCAGAAGTGTGATTTTCTTTTTTCTCTCAGTACATCCTTCTAAGCTCTGTCTGTATCATCTTGTCGATCATGTTTGTCTTGTGGAGTGGAAGTGTTTGCTCTGTGCTTTGATGAGAATCAGACGGATTGTGTATTTGGCTGTTAGCTTCAGCAGAGGTGGTCCTGATTTGCCCAGATACAGCAAGGTCAGGTTGCTGCCATATCACAACTCCCACTCAGCCCATTATTTTTTTTGCGATGAAATTGAGCAGATTGCAAGATTAAAGAAAATCGTAATTCTATCAGATCAATAGGAGTCTAATTTGAATTGAATTATTCATTCTCTATATGTGTCCAATTAGTTTTGGAACCATTGTCATTGAAAGCATTGTTGATTTCAGAGAACAAAATTCTCTCCTGTATACATTTTTGTTTACAGCAGTTTAATATTAGGTATGTTTCCAGTGTAGTGCAACACATTTAAAAACATAGATTATAAAAAAAATGTTTGTGAGCTTTTCCAGAAGCAGAGAAAAATGACTTCAAAAAGGCTCTGTGGCCAGACAGAATGTTGGTTCTCATTGACCTTACAAATGGTGGGGTATGTAGCAGTGAGTAATGGAAATATCTTTCTTTCTGCAGTATCTGATCAGTCTCCCACAGCCAGATCAACCAGTTATCGGAGGACCAGGCCCCAAGGCATTTTACACACAGCCTCAGGCTCCAGAGTTTCAGAACTGTCTCCCCAAACTGCAAGCAGAAGAAGTGCAACTTCATGCAGAACGGAGAGAAGTGCACCATTTACACGCCATACTGTAATCTAATGAATCCCAGTGAAACATGTATTGGTCAGTCACAATATTACAAACACTTTCTTATTATTATTATGTAGGCCTTCTGATTATGTTGTATGGTATCAGATGCCGACAGCTGATCTGTTCAGTATTTCACAGTAATTTGAGAGATGGGGCCTACATTGATCAAACTTGTTTTCCCTGTGCAATTCACATATGTTTGATTGGACTAAAATCTGGTAAATGCTCTGATTACTTTAGCATACTCTTTTAACCATTCCTGAACAGTTTACAGTATAGCAGGATAATCCTGCTGAAAGAGGACATCTTTGAACAGAGTAGCCACAGGAAAGTGGTTTCCAACACATAATTTCAGCAATGTTTACCTTTATGGGAGTTGTGATACTTCCAGATAAATGCCAGGACTGGTGAATGTTTCCATGCAGAACATTGCCTGTAGTATCATATTTTCTTAGCTGACTTGTCCTCTTTACTCAGTGCTTCCTGCTGACATGCCTGCACAAGGTAAATGATGCACCTCACATTGGCCATGATAAAACATGATTCATCAGACCCCCTTCCTCTAATGCTGGAGGGTATAGTTCTGATGTTCACAGGCTCATTTCTCAAGGCAGTAGACAGCATGAGCATTCCGAGCATTCTGCAGCACCTCAGTCCCATAAAAAACCGAGACACACTAGGTGTTTTCACACTTTTCTGTCTTTGCTAGCATGAACATTGTGAGCAGTTAGTGAGATAGAAGCGTTTATTGCTGATCAGATCGTATGAGCTTGAATTGCTTATATACTGAGCTTTGAGAACCCTTGGTTGTGCTGCTGGTGTCCATACGTTGGCTAATGGTATGAGCCACTGAACTGCATGGACGCACTGCTGCTTTCTGATTCCCTACTTTGAAAGTTGTCAGAGTTGCACATATGATAAATTCATACTCATTTTTGTTTTTTGCCTGATCCAACATTTGGGAATTGACTGTTTACTTGCAGGCTCACCAATTGACACATGCCACTGTAGAAAAGGTGGCAACGATATTCACTTCACCTGTCAATGTTTTTGATGTTGTGGCTGATTGGTGTGTAATCCTGTAAATTATTGGTGCCATTATGGTGAGAGCACATATGCACAATATGTTGTCTTCCATTATGTTTGCTTCTCTGTCCCACAGGGTTCCCCATCAGATATACTGGACGGAAAGATTACGACACAGAAAAAGGATATTGCAGCGCAGGGTGAAGATTTATCACATGGTCAGCATTCCCTTATTCTTCAAGAGATCAAGTTTGAGAACATGATGGGCTGTAGTTTGAGTGTTTTTCTACCCCTTAATGCACATTTGTTTACAGTAATGTGTAATTTCTAAAGACACCACATGTTTATATTTATTGAAAAAATGTTTACTAGTTTACTAGTTTAAGTTTTAAGTATGATTTCCCAGCCACAGTGAAGGCATTACTTATTGTACTGATTCAGGGTGTATATATACTCAGTAAATATTAGTTGGCTTGCACAGCTGTGAAAGAAAAGCGAGTTAAAGATTTAATGATATTATGGGTAGCAAACATTTATGGTTTCAAAGTGTTTTTGTGCTTAGTTAAAAGGCTACTGTAAGAAAAAATTGACACAACTAAAAAAATGAGGGATACATTTTGTCCTAAAATTTTGCCTTAGTGTTTGACCTTAAATGTTGTTATGAGAAATGTGTAGTTGTTCTAAAGAACCCTACAATAATCATTAATAGAAAAAAAACTGACAGTAGAGGAATATTCTGCCCATTCATTCCAGTAATAGCATGCTCAATACCTGTGATACCCTGTGATTCAGAATTTTAATAGATCAAATAATTTGACCTTTTGGCTGCTTCATTCTTTGAAGTGTTGTGCATTTGTAAAAGCATTAGGCTACATATGAAAAAGCAAACCAGCTAAATAAGAGGTTAGTTCCATGTTCTCTCAAGTACACAGTAACAGCTTTTATGATTGGAAATACATCAACATTTCAGCATGACTGAATACAAAATAAAAGTGATTAAAATTCTCTAATTCAGCTGCACTTAATATTGCCGCATATATTCTTTCTGCGATCAATGAATGTAAGAAGCTCAGTTACTGAAATGCCTTCATTATTAAGGATTGTCACGGTGCATAATCAGTTCACAGGCATGCCTGTGGCAGCCTCTAATAGCATTGTTTGAATGTTTTGTGTTATAAACCTTTACTGATCTTGAAATTATTATACATAGGGGCATCTTGTAAATTACAACCCTGCACCCCTAAAAAGGGATTGTTCGACAGGAAGGAAAGTGAAAAGATATGTGTTCTCGGTCCCACAAAAGAGAAGCAAGCATCATCAGGTAAGCTTTATGCACACTGCATATAAGTTATCTGTGTGTGTGTGTTTTGTGGTGGTGGGGCAGGGTATAGGATTTGGAGTGTTTTTGTATATTATTTTTCATAATTTGAGGATTTGTTCAATATGAAATAAAACTCTAGATGTTGAATCTGCTGGGCAGAAAAACACGAAAATGAGTAGGAAGAAATGTGCTCAGCAGCATCTGACCCCAACAGACAAGTCGAAGCACCTACCAGCAGGTGAGTCAACAGCAATCCATGTATACTTCTATACTGAGCAATAGTTTGAAAAGTACAAAAACATGCAGCCATAAGACCAAAGACATTAATATGCAGGTTGGGTGATTTGGATATCTACTTTGCATGTTCTGAATTTAATAAGCAGCTGCCTTATACTTGAATAAAATACTTATTCCTACTCTTTATATAATTCATAAATTAGGTCTCTTCAAAATATTGCATGAATTTTAATGAGCCCCAGTCTATGCTGCATATACGCTTTTGTTCCCCCTTTTTAATTTTACATAACCCACATCAGGGTCACTTGCAGGAAGCTCCCCAATCCGACCTGTGCACCCCCCCCCCCCTCCCCCGCGCACCTTACCCACTAACCCCCACTCACACATGTGCACACATACCCACACTCACATTGTCCTTGCAGATTGAATGCATGCGTTCTGAGAGCTCATTTATAGAGGTTTCTGTACAAGCAGTAAGCTCCTTTGGTGCAGCCCTGCCCACAGATGGAAAGTAGTTAGTTCATTAATGGTAATGTGGCACATTAAATAAAAGTCAGAGGGACATCTCCTGGGCCCAGGGTTTGCCACACAGTGGGCAATTAGAGGAAGTGATTATACTGTCGAGAGGTTCAAATGTGCTCGCTCATTCAGATTTAGGTACCCCCCTCTTTGATGTGAGCTTTATCTCAAAGAATAATGATTAACTGTTTCTTCCATGCACCGATGGTTGCAACTGCCATTTCTGGAAAGAGAAAAGCTTTTACCCTCCTGATTATACCGGAAACAGGATTGTGTCATATTCTAACAAATTTATTTAATCTTGATTTTTTTTACCTTATTGCAAAACCCCTCCAGTGGGTGAACGCCACATCCACATTTGTTAAGTGTCTCAAATAATTGTAATGTTCTGACAAGGATATCATTGCATGCATGACAAGACAGTCACCACACTAATCCTAACCCCAACTAACTGCTGACCTCTGATTGCTGATTACTGACTGCTGACTATGTTGACATTGTTTTTTTTAATTATTATAATATTTGCATACCTGGACTTTTAAAGAAACCTGCAAACATGCCACTGCAAGAGAAATTGTTTCATTTTGACAAGCTGGGGTATCAATTGCAACTATGCTTATTGTTATAAGGAATTGTATGGGCATACAATCAAAATAAGTCACTGTCGGATGACATAACTGTTAATAGGATTTATGTTTCCTGTTTGATGTCTGATGTCCTTTGAAAGGTAGTTTGTTTATTTGTGCCCTCAATAGCCTATTGAGGGCACTATTTAATATACATTATTTATTTCCAATACTTCCTATAATTTACCTGTGCTTAAGGAAAATAAACTGTGTCTGTTTTAGATAAGACTAAGTGCACTCCTGCCAAGCAAAGCCCAGGAGTCGCCCCTACACCAGCAAAGTCTCATCTCTGCTTGATAAGACCAGATTTGTCTTCTGACCTACGGGTCCGGAACAGCTGGGAGGGTAATAAGAGGTTTGAACCCCAGCTCACACTGCAGGAGGAGGCGTTCACTTTCTCCTCCAAGCCTCACTCCCCCAAACGAGGACGAGGCCAGGATGACCAGGAGATGATGGAGACACGACATGATCTGCAACAGAGCAGAAATGGAAGACGACACCATCCCCAGCCTAAAGATGATTTTATTGGCAGCGAGAGTGATGAGGTATGTTTGCTGTAGGTGAGAGACACCGCACTTTGGACACGCAAGTATTTGAAGTGCATCTTATGTTGCTAGGACACTAAGTCCCATGTACTCTAAGTGTGAGCAACAACTGTTATATCACATCCAACAAGATGTCAAAGCAAACATCTCAAACCTATGGTAGTGTGTTTCTTTTTGTGCAGTTTTTTATTATTTTGTCTTTGTAGAAAACACACAAATCTCTCATTATCCCCACTATATCAAAGTTTTGTGCTATATTTTTTATAATCTGAAGTGTATTGTTACATATTCTGCCGTTCATTTCAAAGGTCATAGGGATTATCAATCTTCAGATGATTTATTAAAGGCTCTGTGTATTAAACTATGTGTATTATAGATCTGCGGATTTCTTTATGCTGAGCGTGGAAATTAAACTGAAATGTAGTTGTAAAGAACAATCTTCAAAGAAATGCTAATTGCTTTTACTTATTCAAAGCTTTATAATAAGTCTGATAATTCTGAGTTAAGAACCTAATTCCATTGTGCAGCTGATTAGTTTGGCCTTGTTATTTGTTGCTGCAACAAAGCAATCTATACTATCTACCAGAATAATTTCAAAATCCATCCAAATACACTCAGATATAACAAAAAGAAAAAAAGAAAAAATATCAGAGGTAATATAAGATATCGCAAGTCTGTTCTTAAACATTAGTTTGCTATAGAGCTGGTATCAGCAACCCAAAGTTTCTCTTGAGACTCAGAATTCTTTAAAAGAAAAGTACAATAACCAAAAATGTAAACAGTTTAGGAAAGGTTTGTTTCAAAACAAGTGAAAGTTGGAGGGTGGCCTTTGTAGACTGCCAGTATAACCTTTTTCTTCAATAAAGCTCTGTCCTGAGCTGACATTTTCCTTAAAATTGAATTTAGGTTTCAGAATTGTTTTATATCAACATTCACCACCTGGCAAAAGTGCACAGTTCCTTCAATATCAAAGGCTGACATTTCCCAACATTTTACCAAATTATCAAGTATTATTCATATAGTTTATTATTAGAGATGCTCCCTGGAAAAATTTCGAGAACCAAACGTATAAATAAATAGAGAGAGAGCAGAGATACAGACCAGTATAGATGTATGCTTTCTAAGTGGGGAGAAATCACACAGCACACTCATATGCATACTTACTGTACACACCCACACACCCTCTCACAAACACACTTACACACCCACACGAGCAAAGGTTATTAGAGACAAGCATCTTTCTCTCTGTGCAATCAAATGATCATGTAACCTCTGTTGAATTCAACAGAACACTTAAAAAGAAACAGAGCACTTAAAAGAAACTAACTCTGCCATATCAGTGTAAGGCCTTTTCAAAAAGTGCAACATAAAAGCGTGCATTCTTTTTCTATTTTATTGTATTTATCTTCTTTCTTTGTCTGAAGACCTATTATTCTGATTTTCCCGAATCAGAACAATGTGTTGGAGCACAAGGTTACTTGATTGAAAAGTCATTGCTGCTATATCAGCCAAGTTAGAGCCAGTAATTAGTTTATTTCTCCTTGTACCTTTCCATCAAACAACACCATACTGGACTATCAGTTAGAACCTTTAGGGAAATTAACTAACAACAACTTTATTAAAGTCTCGATGAGAATTTTTCAAAGAAAAGTACATTTTAATAATGATTAAAGAAATTACACAGAGTATGTTTAAAGGAACAAAACTTTAAATGCAATCTTCTTTGTAGAAATTAAACCATTAACTAAAACTAAACTATTTGCTGAAGTTTGAAAATACATTTTATGAAAATCAAAGCAGCCGCTGATAGTATTTTAAACCTGTCAGCAAAAAGACACAACGTCTTTTCTGATTACCCAATTACTGCTGCTCTCTTTTGTTTAGGTCTGAAAAAGAAGAAAGACACAGTCTGTAACATTTTTTTAAAAAGCCCTTCTCTTTGGTATGACATATCCTATTATTACAATTTTTCCAGATAGCAGTAGTTCTTCAACTAGCTCCAATGCCAATGCTCCAAGGCCAGGCCATCGGTGGTTGAACACAAAACTATGCCCTTCATGTTCATGTAAATACAGTAAAACCACATTCAATTCAAATGCACTTTGAGTTATTGTAACAGCACAAAAACTGATTTAAAACTTTTTTTTGCCTATAAAACTTTTATGGCAAATCTAAACCTTAAGGTGAACTTTGATAAAAATCAGGTTATTGCTTTTATTGATCTATAAATGTAAATGCAAATTGTGGTTGAGTTGGTTAGTCAGCCCTGCGATAAAATGGCGGTCTGTCTAGTTTGTACCCCACCCCCGTTGTCAGCTGGGATAGGCTTCAGCCCCCCCGCAAACCCTTTGGGAATAAGTGGTATAGAAAACTGATGGATGGATGGTCAGTCAGTTCCAAAGTAAATATGAAATAATGAGATGAAAAGGAGGGACAGACAGAGGAGAGTGAGCGTGTTGTGTGTAGCACTCTATTTTACTGCTTTGTACAAAAGATTAAGGGGGTTTATATATATGTTTACATATACCTTTTACATTTTTGCTCGCTTATAAGATAGAATCCTGATTTACCTATTTTTTTTTCAAAATCCTTGAAAGCATTAAGGAAAATTCCACTCAAGTCCAGAACTAAAAAAAAAAACAAAGTCAAAATGGGGTGATGTAAAAGCCTGAAGTGACAATTTCATTTCCATTAATTAAGACAGATTTGCTTATAGCTGTAATCACTGACAGTGCTGCTCTTTTTAGCAAATAAGATCTGATAGCAACACATTTCACCATATTTTTACACATACGGAAGGCGTACTACATGTGCAACTGGTCTTAAGATACACAAGCTGACAGAGGTGCTAATATCACTTTAATGCACCTGCGAATACTTTCAATGTACAGATTGACAATGCTGGAGTCTGTTAAAGTTCCTACGACTTGAAAATCCAACATCAGGGTTAGTTCAAGTTCAATTTTCTCCTTGCAACTTGGAAACTTCATCTACAAAATCAAAATAAAATTTTCCAATCTGAAGTAGTATTCACACTCAAATGTGAGACAGAACTCACAGTCTCATCTGGAGTGTACATTAAGGGCAGTCACTCATGAGAAATAGGGTCTGGGTTGACTTTTCACACAGGAAGTCTCGATGGTTAGGTTTGTCTGCTTGTTGAAAATTGGAATTGTGGAACTTATGTTTGTTTAAGAAGTGGATAGACCCTTTCATCTTGCAAGAGACCCTTTTAACATTTGTCATGCCCTACCAACAAATAGTTTCTTTCTTTTTGTTAGAGCATTTGATTTGTCATGCTCTAAAGATTTCAACCATTCAGAAATTGTGCCCCCAGGCTGAGCAAATCCATTTAGGACACCGGTTTAAGATATTGTATATAATGTTGAGACACATTGTTGTTTGGAATTACATGTGAGCTATGTACAGATGCTGTAAATGGTCATCTATGATGCAACCTTTTTTCTTTTTTTTGCATGCTTGCAATTAGACATTATAGATTGCCTTACAATTCCAGACTACTACTGGGATTTTTGCTTGCCACCGTATTTAAGAAAACACAGAGTTGATTTATCTTTTATTTATAGTTAGTTTTTATTCTTTTTTCAGGCACAATTTCTGTTCTGTTAGAAACTTAGAGCAATTATGTCTAAATCATTTTAGATAAAGGAAACGATATGACTGAAAACACGGTATAATAACTCATCAATAAAACCATCTGACAAATTATGCCGAGCTCATAAACGAGGAAAACGAGTGCGGTGGCTTTCGAACAGCTAATTCTGCTACAAAGCCAGCGTCAGTTGTAATGATCTGTGCTGTCATGAAACTGTGTGTCTGTCATGGTTGTGTTCAGATTATTAAAGTGGCCTGTAATATCAGCTGTAAATGCAAGGTCCTGCAGCCATTATGCATTGTTTGTTCTGCAACAGGTTCTCCTTTTCTTTTTTTTTGCTTCAAAAGCTCTCTTGTCTCCCTTACCTTAAATCAAAGAAATGCATTAGCACATCTCCTTAACCTAACTGCCTTACTTCAGTGTGATATGGCAGCCCATGAGGGATGTCCTTATCATTAAGTAGGCTGTCAAACCGTCAATGATTCAGTCCTCTGGGTCAGATGAAATTAACAGTCCGGACAACTACTCTCTTGACGTGATCCATCCTTAATTGGCTTGCCATGCAGTGCTTCCTTCTGTAGAATGCAATGACAGATCACAAACTCAAAACCCCTAAAACTTTGCTCTTCAGTAGCAGCATGGCTTAATTAATCCCAACACAAAACCAGAAATATTAAGAACACGTATTAAATGAAAAATAAGTTTGCTTTTTTTCACTTCCCTGGCTGTAGATATTTAAACTTGTGTGGTGCTGATGATTTAATAGAACACTGGAAGGGAACATTTCACAGCTCTTACGCATCTTAGTTCATGAAAATTTAATCAAATATGCTTTGTCAATGTGGAGGATGTTTATCTGACAAAATTTATGACTGGGAATTTATGACAGAAGTTTTAAAAGTGTTACAGCTCCTATCAGGTCAAAATGGATGAAAGGTGATGCAACACAAAACTATATGTCAAGGAGGTGGGTGTTGACGGGAGGACTCAGGTGCGGAGATGAGGGGAACAAGGTTTATTGAACAAAAACAGGGTGAATGTCCAGACAAAGTACAAAAGAAAGCTGTGGCAAACTGTGGGCAAAGTATCAAAGCAAGCAAACAAGACTGTGGAAAAACTATGACAAAGTAACAAAATAAAGATTAACAAGACTATGACAAAAACGTGACTATGACTGTGGCTGTGGCAGAACTATGACGAAACAAACCTGGCGTGGGGGTGACGACGGACGAAAGGACAAGAGGCAAGACAAGAAGACAAGAACGACCCCGCACCAGACAAGGGGAAACAGGACTATTTAAACACATGAGGGAGGGAACCCCAGGTGTACACAATAGGTAATCAAGACGAGACATTCCCCCAGACGTGACACTATATCAATTGATTAAATATAAAGAAGGTATACCACTTCTTCGAAAATCCCAACTGCTCTTGAGCTTCAGCTTTAATTCTATGTGTCAACAACAGTTAAAACAGACCAAATTAATTTCTTTGTAGATCTTTTCATTGTCAAAAGAATGAAAATTAACTGAGAGATTCACTGTATGATCTCCTTTAGTATATATACAAAACAATAAGCCAAGGTTTACCAATCTATGATGTTCTGCCAAGTTCTCAGTAGTTATAAATCCAAACTGTACTGCCATCCAATACCGGTCAACCTGATTATGTTATTGATTCATTTATGGCAGGTTGCACTGCTCTGGAGCATTATTATCTTTCATAGTCTTGCATCAGGTTCATGCAATTCTCTTGAGCTGGCATGGACTCCTAAACAGAGAGAAATATTAAAAGCAGAACAAAGCAATGAACTTTCAGTGTATGAAATATTTTGAAATGCATCAAAAACAATGAGACAAGTTTAAGTTTGTTACATTTCTAGGGAAAAAAACGTTTTGGATGCATAGCAACTGAAACAAATAAACTGTGCTGTGACTGAGCTGAGCGCATGAGCGGGCATTCACAGCCACACCCATGTCTGGCCTTTCAATAATACATTTCATTCATTGTTTAATTACTTAATCTTATGAAAATGATCGAGCAAAGAGTTACAAATATTCCTGCTTATCATAACCTTCCACACCTAAACAGAGCTCATAGAGAAGAGAGTGGCAAGAAGAGGCAGTATTGAAGATTTAAGGAGAAATTATTTTCTGAAAATTGTGTCTACATGTAAGGACACATTTTTAATAAATCTATTGTTTTATATTGAAAACTTTTATGTTTCATTCAGATTTTAATAAAATATTAATTAAAATACATTCATCAAGTAATGATATTAAATCAATATCAGTTTGTAACCAGTTGTGTGGAATAACAGTTCTAAAGGAATGCTCCACAAAAAGTCCATTGTTTCAGTATGAAACATTCACACAGTGCATCTTTGAAAAGCTCGCTCTTTTGTGGAAAGCGGAAGCTGTTGTCAGCTTTGGTTCACAGTAGTTCTAATGGATTTGCTGCAACCCAGTTGTACTTTTGGAAAGAAAGTGTCAATACATGCAGAGAAACCCTCGACAGCCTCTTCAGAGTAATCACTTTTGCTCTGTCCACACTTACTATTTCCACGTGGGTAAATACACAGTGCGGATTCCTTGCAAGTCAACTAGGTGGCCTAAATCTACATAGCTGCACATGCTTATCTTGCTGTAGCGTTTAATGTGGTCAGCTACTTTACGTTAAGTTTTTCAAGAGTTTTGCATGGATTTTTTTTTTTTTGTATTGTAGTGAAACTGGGTTATAATTTGAATACGAAGTTAGGAATTCAGCTGCCATCCTCAGTTAAGGAGCAAGTCTCAAACTTTTGAGTGATGTATCTTTCAAGCTTATGTGGATAAGTTTTGGTATTCAAAACTGTGGTTTTTACTGGAGTGTACCTTAAGTTCTTAAGCTCTTACGTAAAGGCAAAAAATTTGAAACCACAATATGGAGCGTGAACCGTGAATTTTAAAATAGGACAGATTAGCAGGTTACAAATGAATGCTTTTAGCTTTTTTTAAAATAAGGTTAATTTAAGGCTAACTCATCAACATAATTGTCTTTTGATTGTCGTGTTCAATAATACACATCAATTTTATCCTAAAAAAAAACATTAAGGTAATTTAGGTCAGAAAATAAGAAACAGTTTACCATAAACTTTTAGGTCACGATAATGATAATAACTTTGAAATTGTGTCCTTGTATTCCTTGTATTTCTTTCAGGATAAGAGCTATCCTGTGTTCCACCATAAAAAATGTGGTCTATCCTGCCCTGCTACTCCCACAACTACAGAAACAACTCAGCATGAGCAGCTTGAAAGTCATTCTGAGTCTTCTATCATGAACCAAACATCCTCTAAACAGCTTCGTCTACCTAGCACTTCGATGCAGTTTCCCTCCATAAGAAGAGCTGGACCAGCTGGTTTGGTCCCAACGCGGTGCCTCTCACCTAATGGACAGAGCCACAAGTCAGAGAAAGGGATTCAGCCTTTGGGTGGGAACAGCAGTGTGTCTGTTTCCAGAAAACTCCTGCAAGAAATCAGATTGGATGACTCCAAACACCACAAAGTATGACTCACACCTTTAACAAACATTTACCCCTTTACAGATTTGTTGTTTTTACATGCACGGTATCACATGGATTACAACTGATTTTGAGTCCCCTCTTTTTAATAGCTGTCAATTGACCACATTAGCTAATAACATCATCTACTTCAAGAAACAGTACAGGTTTAGGTCTGATTGTCTCAACAATCCTAAAGCAACTTCAGTAACATATTGCACTTGCATAAAGAAATAGACTTGACCAACTAAGAAGCTTTATTTTTATTTAAGTCTTTTTCCATTTTTTGGACAAAGAGCTTTCATAAGCATTCAGTGTTGATATTTTAAGCAAATGATTGTCTGAGATCAAGGAGGACGAGCATCAAACTCAAATTAAAGATAATCATCAGTGCAGCCAAACAGGTTTACACTTTCCTTCAGGATACTCTTCAGGCTTCAAGCCTTGCATTTCCAGTCACAACCTAACTCTGAGCTGCTCTAAATTCTCCTTTCGAACAACTCTCCCCTCAAAAATGAAAGAAAAAAAACTTTGATAAATCCACCACACAGTTTGTCCAGCATTAAACACCAGACTCACCAAGACAGTTGGAAAAACAGTTTGAACACCCAGCAGGTTAGATCAAAGCTCCAGATGTTTGCCAGGAATTGGTAGAGACCACAGCAGAGTGAAGAAGACAGCCATTATTTTCAGTAATACTTCCTTCAAACATGACTACTCCCAACAATAGTTTGATTAAATCTAATTCGAAAGGGGCTCTTCACAATGAATGACAAAGTGTTAAGTAGAAGGGCAGGATTTGTAGGATTTGCCGTGAAAAGGTATTTAGTTAAAATGTATATCATGTTGTGAGTTCAGGGGCCTTGGAGCAATTTGCAGCTTTTTAAGAAATCTCATGGTGTTATGTTTGACTGTCACTGGTTTTCCCCATAGTAATCTGTCAGAAATCCAGAAATCACTTCTAGTTTGGACAGCTAAAGAGAAGGTGTGAAAATGTTTGGGATCAGACTATAGTCGGAGATAAATTGAGCTGGTCCCCTGCCTCTGTCGAAGAGATCGAAGATCAGAGAAAAGTCAGCTGAAGCGATTGTAAGGCCTGAAGCGCGTTCTGTCACATAGCCGTTGCTTTCTGCATTTGCACAACTCACTGCTGAGTGATATCACAGCATCCTTCATCAGTGCAGCTCCTGACTGCTGATTTGTGCCAACTCCAGCAGGCAACATGCAGTGACACCTTTGAGTGAAAGGTTGTCATAAAAATATGACAAGGATTTTGTTTAGCTCCTGTGTATTGACTTCCATTGATTTGCCTAAAGGACAGCATCAGGCTTCCTTACACTGTCAGACAAATCAAGTTACCATAGGAGTCTCCTAAATCAATATGTCTACTGTTAAAGACATTTTTTCAGAGTCAAAACAGTGCTTCATGTCCAGTGCTTTTTTAAACTCTCCATGGCAATGCAGCCTGTAGCTAAGGTGCTCACTACTTTGCTTATTTTGGATATTGTTAATATCAGATAAATTCTGTGTTTTGAATAGCTTTGAAATATTTGATCTGTGTTTTATGGGTAAGGAACAAGAATATGAAGCACTCAAGACTGTTGATTCCAGTCACTATCTCTTACGACCGCATCGCAGTCTACGGATGGACACGTGTGATGATGAGGAGCTACAAATGCTAGCAAGCCTGAGAAAAGAGCAGGAGGAAGATGAATGTAGTTCGCTGGCCCTCAGCACCTCTCAAATCCATCAGTGTGCTGTCAGCATCAGCATGAGCAGTGACGACACCTCAACCTGGACCCACATGTCGACGGTCTGTACTATAATCTTCTGATACTCTGCATCATTTAATGTTGACTCTTCCCTAACAAGCAGCAGATGTGAAGCTCTAACTGTAGACTCTCAAACTCATTAGTAGGTTGTCCCTCTCTCTGTCGTCTCTCTGGAATGTTTTATTTGACCTGGGCTGACATTCACTTTTACTAATTTCCATTTCAAGGCCCAGCTCACGCCACCATGAAGTGCTAATGCACCCCTTCCCCTAGACTGCTTTCTGCATTACAAAAGATGGCGAAGATTGAAACATATTTATTGTATTTTCCCAGCTTTTAAAGGTACACTGGAATAATACCCACTGCTTCCCTAGTGACTGAAAATTATTTAGGTCATTTGAAATTATCCCCAGAAGTCTTTATAGAATTTAAAGATGGTGCAGTTTGCTCTTGGCAATTGAGGGTCATTATACTATGTTCCATTAGCATATGCACAATGCATTTACACAGAAAGAAAACTGCAGGCTTCACTATAGGATCCCCAAAGAATACAGTCATTACAAATGCACAAGGTATAAGACTGTTGCCATTTTTATGCTTGCAAGTATACAATAAGGTACTGAGATTGAAGCTAGAAACTAGTAGTGTTACAACAGGGGGTGGTATATTTTGGTTTTTGCTGAGGGCATAGTGATGTATTTAACAAAAAAACACACATATATGTCTCAACACGGACACGGACAGATTTAGAAAAGTGATTTCAAGTCAGCTGCAGTGTTTAAAATTCTTAATGCACTCTGAATGGCAACAGCACCACCAACAGTATACAATGAAAACGCTTCCCAGTACAGAGAAAGAAAGGAAACATAGACACAATATTGAACACATTTTTTCAGGGACCGGTATAGAATTTGAAACAATGTATCAAACAAAACGAAAAGGATGTAATTGATGTCTTTTTAGCACAGAAACAATAGATAGGAGTGAGAAATAAAGAGGAGTCACTGTCTTGGGCTTGGGCACGTTGAAGATGACAAGCTATTTTTGCTCCCTGGATGTTGCGATTGGACTGGTACCTGCAGCTGTCATTCACGCCATTGTTAGTGTTTTCCCTGTTTCAGTAGCCAGTGTAACGATTCAGACGGAACTTCACCCCTGGGTGATTTTGTGGTATATTTGCCATTACTTGGCTGAATGCAGATGAGTTAACTTGTAGATTGAGCAGCTGTGTGAAATTAAATTTCATCCTTGTTTGCAAGTGGTCCCAGAGTTGATAGTTATTCAGTCAGTAGGCACATGACTGAGGCAAGAACTGCCATTTCTGAATTCAGATGTTTTTTTCATAATGACAAACACAGCCACAGATATCATACTGAGTCAGTAAAAAGAATAAGAAAAAATATGTTTCATTTATAAAACCCAACTCAAAGATATATGAAGTCTTATTATGTTATTTTCTGCCTTGATACAGATACTGTTCTCAGCTGAACATTGGACTGTCACGGTGCTCTGGAACGGACATGTTGAATGGTTAGCATTGCATTCATAGTGTTTCTTTTTTTGTGGGCAGAAAGAAAACAAACATTTCTGTTTGACAAATCATACAAAAACAACTCAGGATAGACTGATTTTCCTTTCTCTCCTTGGTTACCTGGGTGACGCTTTCTGCCCATTTGATGGTTGCTGGAAAAAAAGCGACAGTGATGAGACTGGAGCCTTGCTAAATAGCTCAGGGATTTTTGTAACAAATCTGTAATTAAGCACCTTAAGTGATTGAACAAAAATAAGGGCAGAAGGCACAAACTGACCACCAGGTTTACATCTAGAACCATTTCACAATGATGAAACATGACTGGCTACTCCATCTTTAGTTCCCCAAGGGACTAAATTTGATTCTGAAATGGTTTTTCCCTTTGAAAAAATATAATCTACAATTGTATCTGGGAAAATGTATGATTATTATCTTAAGCTGTCTGTGTCATTTAATGAAATAAACATCATCTTAGTACCTGTGTTGCTCTTAGTATATAGAAGAAAATAGACATAGCCATTGTTCTATTTTAAAACTGAAGTTAAAAACATACTGTGATGCAGCTTTTCTAACATGAAATGAATTGTGTTTATTTTTCCCTGTCAGATCTAAGCAATATATCATCATAATGTGATATAATTTGGCTTGAAATGTGTCACAGTGCCAGTTTTCTCAGAGTTAAATAGCCAAGTGAAGATTCATTTAAGAACATAGGTCCAGTTTTTAATTTCTAGCCTGTAATTGTTTCAGTCCAGTTTCTAATTAATACTACTTATAGGAACAAAAGTAATTGTATTTTGGACAATGATGATCAAAGGAAACTTTAACACATATGGGTTTCTGATTGTAGTTGGGTCACATGACACATCATACAAGAGGGACGCATATAAGGATGGACATGCACAGTGAAAGGGATTGTAAAATAGAGCGTAAACATGTTTGAGGATAAACCAGAGAGACAATACAAGCAATTGAGATGTCAGCTTTAAGAGCGAAACCTCGTGTCCTTTTTTCTTTTCTGGTTAGTTGTACAGTAAGAAGTGTGTCAGAAAAGTTGGCAGGTTGACTGCAAAACTACAGGCAGCTGAAGTTGCTAAATTGAACTTCCAAACCCCATTTTGCTGTCAGGTCAAGAAGTGATGTTTGTTCAAAATAAACTGTGGGGATTTTTTGCAGCCAGTGTTTTTTTTTTTTAAATGTACAGACCCTCTTTGAAACTCTAGTGCATGCAGCTTTTAATGACTACATGAAGTACAGGGTTTAATGTTTCCGTGGAATACAGAACTGTTTTCTACTCCCAAGATTTTTGTTTTGTTTTTTCTTTTCTTTCCAGCACCCTGCATGTAACTCATCATCATCAGTCCATATTACCTGGAGAATTCCACAGGGTGCAATTTGAGGTTCCCTCTACAGAATTACATAAAAAAAGGCAGTGGAACGCTCAGATAGCCTAAATTAAATCAGGCAGTGCAGGGACTATAGTTTCCAAATGTCTGCTTCTTCATCAAAGTCATGTAATGAAATAACCTTTAACAAGCAGTGTGCTCAAAAAGGACTCCTAAGGCTGATATGGTTTTTAGCTTTGACAAGACAAAGTCTTGTATCTTGTGTCTTAGATAAAAAAAATCTATCTATCTATCTATCTATCTATCTATCTATCTATCTATCTAT